GACACAAAAATCTTCATTTTCTTAGAGGTCCATTATAAACCAGTGAAAAGCACTTTCTAAAATGATTTGTTACATTTAAATGCTATGAAGAAAACAGAACCGGGTGCTGTGATACTACATGGCTTGGGGGTCAGGGACGGTTCTGTGCATGAGGGAAGGAGCCAGCCTTGCAAAGATCTGGAGACAAATCCAAACAGAAGAAACAGTAAGTGCAAAGGTCCTGAAGCAGATTTTGCTTGGTGTGTTCATGGTACTAGAATTCTGATTTTACACTAAGAATTTTCTCCACACTGGTATTTCAGTTCCTAATTTAGCAAATTAAAAAGATAAGTATGTTTGTGTCAACTTCAGAAGTAAGAAGTAAATTTAGAATAATCAAGATCCTCTTTGCTTAGTTTACAAATACAACAACAGAGGCATTTGGGCATTTTTGTAGCCAACAACTCTGTAAGCAGACACATGTGTTTGTGGTCCATGCTTCAGTGCTCGCTCTGAAACCAAGCCAAAGGGGGCAAGCTCATTCCCCGGCTGATACGTTTTAGACAGCCAAGCGGATTCACAGTGATCCACAGTCCTCCAGAGGGTATAAGATAATACTGAGGGACAAATATGGAAGAGCTGACTTGCTGCCCAGCCTCAGGGTCTAGCACAGGCCCGAGGGGCCAGCTGCGTCTTTGTACAGTCTTCTCCGGGAAATGGCACAGCCACAGCCAGCCATGTGGGAGATCTTTCCTGCTTGCCTTGTATTTGAGAGGTGTGCTCAGCTCACTTTGGGAAGGTTATTTCAACTTTTTGCTACATCAGGACTTTGTAATTGGTGAAAGACATGCATGGTGAAGACATGCATGCATCCTTGGCTGCCCTTGGTAAGCACGGAGAGGAGCTCACCGGTCAGGACGAGAACATTCTGGGTTTTGTCTGATCCTTGTTGGGCTGACCTTTTTGGGCATTCCTGAAACATAGCCACTCTTGCCGCAGCTGCCGCCTGCCCTGTTCTTGCTTCAGACTTGGTGCTTGCCAAGATCAGCCCCCAAAGAAGCATGTCCCCTGTGGGCCTCACACTGAAATGGCACCAGACTGAAGTCCTCTGTTTCAGGGTCTGATTAGCCTGTGGCTTTAGGAAATGGGACAAAACATCGACATTTTTGTAGGATGTCACTTGGAAGTGTTAGCTGAATAGCCTCAGCTGTTCAAATAGTAGCGCTAGATACGACTTGTGTGGAGGGGGATGGCTGGACTGAGGGATGTGGGTGCTGGAGNGATTAGCCTGTGGCTTTAGGAAATGGGACAAAACATCGACATTTTTGTAGGATGTCACTTGGAAGTGTTAGCTGAATAGCCTCAGCTGTTCAAATAGTAGCGCTAGATACGACTTGTGTGGAGGGGGATGGCTGGACTGAGGGATGTGGGTGCTGGAGGGGGTTGTCCTGGCAAGACAGGTTTAGGCTCCTTTAAGATTTAAAGGGCTAGCCCTCAGGTAGTTGCACATGTTATTTTCCTTGTGAAAGAAGGCTGTTTTGTTCGCTGAGTGCTCCTTGTGCAAAGCTAGGTTGTGCAGGGAGAAACATTTCTTTCCCTTGGTTTGGGTGGGGTGAGGGTTTGGCTGCTTGGCAGATGTGGGCTGGAAGATGATTCCAAGTGAGCTGATCCTTGGGGCTTCTGAGAGATGAGAAGGTTGGATGCTCTCAGTTTCCTAGGCTCACCTATTGGTAAGTAGCACCTGAACTGCTTATCCCACAACCTCTCGGCCCTCCTGAATCAGACTTCTCAGGCGCAGTGATTTGCACCTTGAGCAGGCCTCCTGGTGAACCTCCTTCTCAAGGAGCGCTCACAAGTCTTCCAGTCCTAAAACCGCTGGCTAAGTTTGGAAGTCAGTGATTCCTAACTGTTTGAAACCCAAGGCTTTTTGCAAATATAAGGACAGTTGTGGGTGCTTTCTTAAGGAAAAGCTGTAAAACATAGAATACTGAGTTCAGGTTCAAGGTTTGTAATTTCTTGATGAATTCCCACTCTGAAGTCAACTGTCAGAAGAAAATCTAAGCACCTAACTAACATCATGACCAGCACAGAGTAGCTGCTCGCTGAAGGTTAGCTATTCTTTTCATGTCTCCAGCTTCTTCCTATGATATACTAGTATTATCTTCATTTTATAGATGAGGAAGTTGGAGCATAGTGAGATTCATAAACCATGAGTGGATTTTACCCTAAGTGGTCTGATTCCAGAACCAGTGAACTTAAAATTCTAGGTTACCTATTAAACTGATTCTCAGATTTGCCTGCTTGAATCCATGGTTCTTTCTGATCCTAGTAATTCTGATCACTTAAACACCTCTCCCATGTTAGTTGTAATTAATCAAGCAGTTATTATGTGCTGGGAATTATGCTAGGTACTTTATATGCATTATTTCTTTGAAAAACGTGCACAGAAAATGGTGTACATGTTAATGTACATACTGAGTGCTATGTAAAAGTAGGAAAAGTTAGGAAGGTAAATATATCTCAAGGTTCAGAAAATTGGAATTATTTCCTCTTTGGATAGTTTCTATTATACTATCAAAGATCTAGAGATGGAAAAGAACCTGAAGATTTCCTAGTTCAGATACAATTTTCCTGGGGATCACAGCTATTCGCAAGGATTAATTTAGTTTAGATTCTCCAGGAGTCCATCAATGGTCTGGTCTTTCTTTTCAGCACTATAATGGCTAGCAGATATCAGCTGGCTCTCTTGGCACTGCCAGGATGAGCACCATTTATTGAGCAGGTGCTTTGTGTGGGCCCTGTGTTCATGTACCTCATGTACATTTTTTCATTTAACCTTACAATGGTATCAGCTTGTCATATTTTGGATACCCCTTTCAAGTAAAGAATTTCAGGCAGAAAGCACATCTGATTTCATGCATACACATTTCCCAAGTAGGAGAAATGCATAACTGAGGAAGATGCCTAGAGCTCCTCAGCAAGCCCAGAGGGGAGAGAGAGAGAACAGGAACACCAGAGTACAACTTGCATTTACTTTCCTGATGATTCTCAGGTTAGCCCGGGTGGCATCACCTACCAGGTTGGCCCGGCCAAGATCACACACACAGTGGGAGGATCCTAAATCACAGGGGATCACACGCTCTACTGACTGAAACCGACATGCAAGAAGGGCTGGGTCCATGTCACGTGGGTGAGACCCAGAGGGATTCCTGGGCTCAGCCTCACCTACTAAGGCCAGTGGCTGTCCCAAGGCAGGACCATTCACAGTCCCGGGAGGGACACCAGCCTCCCCACCCACCACAGAGGGAGTGCAGCTGGGGGAGGACCCACTGGCTGGGACATCCTCTGTGACTTTTTTCTGGGTTGGGCTTGCCCAGGATGAAGTGGCCAGCTAGGCCATACCACATCTTAAACACCCATCTGTGCGGGACTCACTGATGCAGGGACATGGGGTCCAACCCTTGAGAGTGTTGAGCTTATTGTTCCGGGGAGGGGTGGCCTTGACCTCATCTTAACAGCCTCCAGTTATGGCTTCTGAGGTTTAATGTGCAGTCATTGAAGAATATTGAAATAGTTACAGGGAGGAATAGTCTTTATACAACTTTAAAGTTGTACAGTGTTTCCTGTAGTGGGCTTGAAATGGATTTCTTTAATGAGTCTGGAAATTACCATGTTAGTAGCAGCATCACACATCATCTCCTGTGTGTTTGTGTGTGAGAAGACTATTCATTTGTTCAATGAAACACTTAAGAAATATACTACATTATTTCTATCCTATTCTGACATGTCTTTGTTTTTTAAACTGTCAGGGCCTCAGTAAATACAAATGGCTCAGGTCACACCTGACCTTTGAGAAGCCAGGAAAGGCCATGGATTAGAGAACTCAGAGCAAACCCAAGCCCCATTTCTGCAGAAGGTCAAGACTTCCCATCCACAGGTCTCTGTAGCCCATCGGGGCCCCCCGACTCAGCTCAGCTATCAGCTGTGGGATGTCAGGTCAGTTGCCCAAACTCTGGGCTGTGCGTGAACAGGGCGGGCCTGGCAAGACAGCCTTGTATGTCCGAGTTCCTCTGCCTGTAACGTCTTCAGGGGGTAAAGATTTTCTCGACAGCTTCCAAAGGTGGCCCGAGGACCTTTGTGGACCTCCCACAGGTCAGCTTCTGGGCCGGGACCGGGAGGGAGGTAAGCAGTACCGAGAGGATGGGTAGTCTGGAAGCCAGGCAGCCCGGCTCTGGGCTCTCTGACAAAGTGGGAGGGGGACGCTGGGGCAGACGCTGGCCTGGGGGGCCAGTGAGAGGCTGGTCCCGCCTCGGCTATTCATCAGCCATTAACTGAGCACCTGCTCTGCCCTTGGCTTGTTCACCTCTTAATGACTCATCATGGACGGGAGAGTTTGCTGCCCCACCTGGGGCTTACAGTCTCCAGGTGGGGAGGACATCACTCTCTGAAATGACCTTATTTATAGTTTAAAGCCATTATTTTAAAAGGGGGGAGAATCATTTGAAGTGGGGATGGGAGGGCAGAACGGTTAGAAAAGGCCTTTCTGAGCTCTTCCAGTTCTGAACTTGCCCTTGGCCCCCATCAATTTCACCCTGAGGCTCTTGGTTCTTGATTTCTACAGCCCCCAGGGGAGGGCTTGGCTTTTCTTTTTCTTTTTTGGGGGTTCCGGCTCCCACGCTCCGTGATCCATTTCCCCAGTGGGCTAGGCTGTGTGGAAACGGGCCGGCTCCTGGCTCCCCGCCCCTCCCAAGCACTAACTGTCCCAGGTGTCACTTATTACGCGGCCGCCCGGGCCCCGCTTCCACCCCGCGGAGGATCTCCAAGGAGCCCACGTCCCGGGCTGCCGGCAGCGGGCGGGGCCCACCTGTCCCGGCCCTGCCCCGCCCCTTCCCGGGCGCCCCAGGTGGCTCGGGGCGGGGAGGAGCCGCACCCGCCCCGTCCCTCCCTGCGCGGCCACACCAAGGCCGGCCCGCCGCGAGCGCGCTCTGCGCTAGGACTGGGATCAGAGCCGGGAGCCGGGCTGGCGCGCGGAGGCCCGGCGAGCGCCGCGGCGCAGGTGAGCGGGACAGGCGCAGCGCGCTGGGGGCGGTGGGCCCCCAGCCTGGTCCCTGCGGGGCCGCGGTGGGCGATGCGGGGGCCCCTGTCCGGCGCGCCGGGGGAGCGAGGGCGCCGGGGGCGCGGCACAGCTGAGGGGTCGGGGTTGCGTCGCTGCCTGGGGGCGAACAGCTGCGAATATCTGCCCGGGACCCGGGCTGGGGTGGGCGCGGGACAGGATCGGGGCTGCGCGAGTCTCTGAGCGGCCCAGGCGGCGCGGAGGCAGGGTTTGCAGGGCGCTGGTTGGGAGAGCAGGGGGGCCGGCTGCTGCGGAGAGCGCGGAGCTGGGCGGGGGTTCGGGCCTCGGGGGAGCCCGGAACGAGCCCCCGCCTCTCCCTCTGCGGCGCTTCCCGGGCCCGCGCAGGTGCCGCTGCTCCTTCTGCCTGGGTCTTTACTTCTGGCACTGGTGTTGAGAATCCGACAGACACCTGGGTTAGTTACCTGCGGCTTCCAAAAAAATTGGGTATGCGAGGCTGCTCTGACTGCAGGGGGCCGAGGTTGTCAGGGTCTATCCAGGTCTGTGTGTCCTGGGGCGCTGTCGGTGTTTGGGTGGAGGCGGAGGGTTGCGCTCCATCTCCCAGGCCCTGGCCATCAGAGTGATAAAGTGGAAAAAGTATAGAATTTAAATTTTAGTTACTAGCTGTATGACCTCGAGCAAGTTACTTAATTTCGCTGATTCTGTTTGCTCAGAGGTAAGAAGGGTATTATAATCATCAGAACAGTTAAGTTGTAAGATATTTGTAAAATCCATAGTAGGTTGCTTGATGAGAATTCTCTCCATTTTTTCCTGTATCTAGTTAATGTAACAGTTTGTGCCTCCCAGAGGTTCAAATTCATTTCTGAACAGAAGAGAAACAGAGGAGGTTCAGATTACCCTCTTTTAGGAGGAAAGGCGGTGATGATGGTGTGTGTTTTGTTCACGGCTAGGCCTCCTCCAGGCTATCTTAGTTCCCACCACCATCCTAGAAGCCAAGTTTTGAGAAGTGACAGTGCATAGGTCCTGAATGTAAAAGGGATGGTAACAGTTTGCTTTCAATATTATTGACTGTATTTGTTAGAATTCTTTTCTTTGGGTTGTGTTTTAGTCACTTGAAAATTGCCTTATGCTATATTGAAATTGATTGGGTCACATAAATGAAAAGGCTGAGCGTTTCATCTGCAGGCATAGCTTGATCCAGGGCACGCATAAGGTGGCATGGCTTTCTTTCTCTCTCGTACGTATCTTAGCTCTTTTCCCCTCTGTGTTGACTGCTTCTTAGTATGGAGTGATAAAAAGAACTGGCACCTTCAGGCTTATCTGTTCCTTTGTGGGAGGGGTAGGGGGGGATGTCTTTCTCTTCTTCCATCTCCTCCATCCTAACAGCAGGTCTTACCGATATACTAAACTAAAACTGAGCCAAGCCATCTCCATGGACAGGGAGTGGTTTTCACCATAAGAGTGGGTACTTAGCTCAGGTGCCACTATGATAGACAGCTCCACCCCAGCTGCCCGGGATTGGGCAAGGATAGTTTCCAATGAGATGTCTGACTTCCAGGCAGATAAAAATAGGACCTGTTCATTGTATAGTCTCAGCCTTTGCTCACCACCACCTAAAGGAAGTCTTTGGTAGAATGTAGACAGCCTGTATGCCATATTCCATCTGCCAGTTGTCAAGGCTTATCCAAGGCATGGAAGGCGTCCTGCATATTCATCCTTTGATGTCTTATTTTGTTGTTTGCTTGTTGGTTCATTCATTCATTCAGCATTTAGTAAGTGCCCAGTGTATGGCAGGGCCTCTGCCAAGGGTGAAAATGTTTGCTTTTTAGAATTTCACAGTTTAGTTGGAGAGGCAGATGTGCAGATAACAGAGTCTGTGACTGTTTAACTATCTGGGGACAACCAAAGCCTTCCCAAGGAAACTAGTTGAGCTCTGAATCGGAGATAAGTAGAGCTGCTCTAGGAGGAAAAGTTGGAGGGACTTCCCAGGCCAAGTGGTGGGTACTGTCTGTTGTAGGTAACATTGTTTAGGTTATGTGACTGTTTGCTTAAGAAGTCTAGAGGTGGGTGGTTCAAAACAGCCACAGTTTTGGGTTGGCTTCTTGAAGATTCTCTAGGTTTCTGCCCTGCCACAGGGTGATTGGAGCTCCGTCATGCCTTCACATGCTAACATCTAAAACAAAAAGGGACAGAGAGGGCTTGCTTCTCAGTGATTATCTAGACAACGAAAGTCATAATTTCTCAGAAGTTCCCTATGTCGCTGGCCAGAATGGCCATGTCCTTGCTCAACCATCAATGGAAAAGGAGGCGAGGGTGGCTGTGATTGTTGTGGCCAAGCTGTGCTCTGGAGCTGGAGGAGGGTCACCTTCTCTGAGCACATCAGTGCCCATATCTGAAAATCAGAATTCTGTTAGCCAGGCAGAAAGTGAAACTGCCTGTCAGGCTGTTAGGTAGGCAGTCATCCGAGTCTCCCAGAGGTGGTGACAGATGATGAAAGACATGGCCTTGTGGGCAGACAGGAGAAGCTCAGGACAATAGGAGGCGTCTAGGGTGTGGCCGAGGGAGGGAAGGGGCTGAGGTTGGAGGCGCAGGTAGAGACAGGAGAACCACTCTGGCCATCACTAAGAAGCCTAAATCTCGGTCCCATCCCTCAAAGAACTTGCGCTTAGAACCTGGTGAAGTGTTTGAATCTTTCATACTTTCACAGTGACGGCACCGGTGGCTCACTCTATGGGGGTGATTGTGGGGTGCTTAGGGTGGAGGCGTTTAGGGAGGGGCTAGTGTAGTTAGAAGAAGCCTCACAGCTGGTTCTGCTGTGTCTCCCACCCCCCAGCACCCTGTCACCCTCTCCTCGTCCCATATTGGGACCATCTGCTCTCAATCGTGACTTTTCAGTGTTGCTACCTGTCTTCTAACTAACAGCTGGTATTTGGTGAAGATGCAGCTAGCGGTAGGTCCTGGATTAGAGAACGATTCTCCTGATGATAGTCCGGTGAGTAGATACTTTATAACTCTGTTCAGTAGGAAACCAGCCTCTACTCTCCACTTCTTTTGGAGCATTTCACCTGTTTTCTTTGGAGCTTCAAGTGAGCTGCTGTTTGTTTCACTTGACATGGTGGACACAGTGGGCGTTTGGTGTTAGACTGGGCCACCAGGGCCCTTCATGATGCTTCATCCTCAGTATCTATTTAGCATAGAACTTGGCAGAGAGATCTAGTCACTAATCCTGGAAGAAAGAAGGGAGTGGAAGGCAGCATATTTTGTTGTTTCCATCAGCAGTCCTGCCCAGGATCCCTGAAAGAGTGTGAGGGGATGAAATAGAGAGATGCCTTGGGCAGTCAATTCATTCACACATATTTATTGAACACCCACTGTAAGGCAGACACTGCTCTGGGGATAAAAAAGAAAAAAGTATATGAGAAGGACATAGGCTCCGTTCTCATGGAGCTCACACTTTGCTGGAAGGAGATATATTTGTTTAGTCTCCTGTGTCAGGTGATGAGAAATCCTATAATGAAAAATAAGTTATGAGAAGACTGCAGGAGTAGTTGGCAACAAGCTGTGTACAGTGCTGGAAATCATCAAGGTTTAGTGTCTGTCTGGTTTCCAGCAGAGAAATACGGCTTGCGCAGGTATGGTGTTGGGAAAAAAGACCTTCAGGTGGAGGAAGAGGATTATATATTGAATAACTTGATCTTAAAGAATTTCTTTCATACAGAATCTCTCTGTTTGCTATACCTCACATTATCCCCAAAACGTGATTTTTAATGACTTACAGAACATGGTGCCAGGTGACGAAATAAGTGAAGAAATATGAGCAAAGGGAAAATAAGGGTCATTTCTTTCATCATTGTGTTCCATAATTGTTCAGATTTGGTAGCAGGGGAAGAAAGAAGTAGGGTGATTAAAAATGATTCATACTCAGAGTTCATTATTTAAAAGGTGACAGTGTAAAGTCTTGATGTCCCAATGTTATAACTCATTTGGGTGTGTGTGAAAAGAGCTAGTTTTATTTGATAGGAAAAAATAGTCTCTTTATTAAAGTTGTGCATGCAAATTATCTTCTGAGTTCAAAGAAAATTAATAGAATTGTTTTTAAGGCCAGTTTGAAGTGCCCAAAGGTTAACAGAGATCAAAAGCATAATTCCAAAATCAAAGCAATATAGTATAAAAAATTAGTGAGAAGTTGAGTTTAGTCTGATTACTAGCTGGGAAAAAGATACAAATTCAAATAAAAATTTATAAAATAGAAGTGCTATGCACAGGTAATTTTGATTACCTATTTCTATTGGATTGTTTGTTTTCTTATTGAGTTTTGAGAGTTCTTTACCCAATCTGGGCTTCCCTAGTGGCTCAGATGGTAAAGAATCTGCCTGCAATGTGGGAGACCAGAGTTCAATCCCTGGGTCAGGAAGATCCCCTGGAGAACGAAATGGCAGCCCACTCCAGTGTTCTTGCCTGGAGAATTCAGTGGACAGAGGGGCCTGAGGGCTACAGTCCACTGGGTCACAAAGAGTCAGACATGACTGAGTGACTAATACTAATACTACATAATCTGGATATTTGTCTTGTGTTAGAAACGATTTTCAGAGACATTCTCTCATCCTGTGCCGATCTTTTTATTCCCATAGCAGTGTCTTCGTTAGGGCAAAAGTTTTTAAACTTTGGTAAACCAATTTATTAGTCTTTTCTTCTTGTGTTACCCAGAGGTAATTTTGATTGCCTGTTTTTATTGGGTTGTGTGTTTTCTTATTGTTAAGTTGTCAGAGTTCTTTACATAATCTGGATACATATCCTGTGTCAAAAATGTGATTTTGAAATAAATTCTCTCGGTCTGTGCCTTAGCCTTTTATTCCCATAGCAGTGTCTTTCTCAGGGCAAAAGTTCCTTTAGCTTTAGTAACCCAGTATATCAGTCTTTCTATGGATTAGACTTTTGCTGTATCTTAAGATTCTTTGCCTAACTAAGTTTTGAAACTTTTCTAC